TCTGGGACTTTAGAATTAAAACACCTTGGACTTTACAACTGTCGATAAGAAAGATATCTGGATACGGCAGTTCCTGGAGACAGCAGAAGAGAAAGAACTAGAGAAGATCACCTATACAAAGACCTTCATTGATAGAAATAGAACGACTGTGGCTCAAGGAAGCCAAGAAGGGACCAATAGCCATAGGTGTCTTGGGTGCCACTGCAAAACAGCTGGAGCACCCCTTGAACGCTATCATCGGCATTGACAAAATCCCCATCAGATCAATTGCAAAAGGCAGCGTTCCTCGAAATAGCTTGCATCCCGTGACGAGACCCCCTAACATCATAGAAGACATCAACAACTGCCTAGCCCAGCCGCTTGGGAAGGAGTCGATAAGCAGGCAAAAACACCACATCCAGTCTGAACATCTGGCCGGCCGCGGGACCAATCATAACACCAATGAAACGGGGGAGAAAGGAATATAATAAGAAGGATAAATAGTGCTACTACAACTATACTATGTAGGTTAATATAGAGAGGACTGGGAGAAGTAAGTATTCACGAGGTCAGGAGCATCCTCTGCTCCTCGGCCTCTCGGTAAACTTTCCCAGGAAAGCAGCCTGTTTGGGCTGCCCAAACCTAGTCAAACCTTCCTCCCGGCTAAAATTGGGAGTTCAGAGACCATCAGAGGAGAGGAAGCAAGGTGAAGGGAGACAATTTACGTCGCTGAAACCATTAAGTGAATTTTGCCCCACTTTACGACCACAGGGGTTAAGTGAATTGCTGCAGGGGTTAAATTAACCGCCCAGTTGTTAAAATGATTTGGGTTTTCCCAGTTGTACTTTGCCGGTCAGCAGGTCCCACGTGTGAGTCCCAGGACGCTTGGCAACCGTCTCATCAATAGGGGTCGGTCGCCAAGCGTCTGAATTTTGATCGCGTGACCACGGTGAGGCCGAAGCGGTCGTTAAGTGTGGAAAGTGGCCCTAGGTCCCTTTTTTGCAATGCCGTTTTGAACGGTCACTGTAAGTCGAGGTCTACCTGTCGTAAGACTTGCAAAGGGAGCGTGCTAAGCAGGAGAAACACCGCTTAGCAAGGGCGGCTTAATAAAGAGTGGCAAAGTTTTCCCTAGCGTGGTGGAAGTCACAGAAATGGTGATCCTGAGAGGGCAAGGATCACCAGCGCTTCTTTAAGGCCAGAGGAAGGAACATGCGGAAGGAACGCAGACGGACTATTCTTCCTCCATTCACAGGAGGAAATAAATTTAGTGACCGTTTGAAGTTACAATGGCACTGGAAAAAGAGACATAACCACCGTTTCAGCATCCTTGTTTTTACTGCTACTATTATTATTATTATTACTACATTTTCTGACCGGGTTTTTCTTTTCTTTTTCTAAACCGGCCTAAGATTTATTTCAGGGCACTGTCATCCCCGTTTCATCCACTCCAAACTTTTGGGAAGCCGTGATGGCGAATTGCTGCTCGGCGTTCGAAAAGTCCCGGGCGGCCTCTCTACCCTGCGGATGGAACTACAACTCCCAAGGTGCCGCTGGGTGGCCCCTTCGGAGAGTTGCAAACCAGGAAGGCTGCCCCCACCCCCCCCCGTTAGGGGAAGGGAACCTTCCGGAATCCCAGCGGGATCTAGGGGAGGCTCCTTCTCGTGTGAAGAAGCAAAAGGCCCTTCCTGGCTTTGGATATTCCTGCAGCAGCTGCATCCCGTTGGGTCTCTTAATTCGGGGTGCGCGTTCGGCAAGCCCCCGCCAGGTGGCATCGGTGTCTCAACGCCATCTTTCTCCAAGACAGTCCTCTCCTTGTTCAGCCAAGAAATGCTGCCACCCGCTCCGGGGCCGGCTGCAGAAATGTGCCCCTTGGCACAATGCGAACTCCTGAGCCAGCCTTGCGTTCGAGGGAAGGGACCCTGCCCGTGGAAGGGGAGGCTCCTTGCATAAACGAATCCTCTGCCCAAAGTTTTTGGCACCCTACCGTTGCTTCCCTCTCCGAGAGAGATGTAAATACGATTCTGCAGCGAAAGGCTGCGGCTTAATAGCTTCTCTGGCTTGGTCTTCACCAACAGAAGGAAATGGGAGAAGCGGGGGGCCAATTGGGACCCAGAATCCTAAGGGGGAACAACAAGTATTATGATCCTCCCCAGGTCCAGCGCTGACAGGTTGAGAAAAACTTTCTCAAGCTTGAAACACACCCCAGATGTGTGGACATCAACTCCCCAAATTTTCAGACGTGACAACGTGACGATCATCGAAAAGACGCCTTCCAGAGATATGGAGCTCAGCATTTCTCAGCTAGCGTGGCCATTTGCTAAGAATTATGGGCATCGGTGACTAAACACCTGGAGACTTAGAAGAAGGTAGAGTAGAGGAGGTCTTGGTCCACCTTCTCCAAGTTGTCTGGCGTTTCGACGGCCATGTCCCTTAGCCAGCAGGGTTGAGACTCCATATGATTCGTCCTCTTTTTGCTTTACCTTGTTTTATATGAATTCTCTACCTGAGACAACGGCCAGCA